CCAGCAGGGAGCTGTTGATGGTTCCGCGCACCAAGTGCAGGTCACGCGGGGACCGTGCGTTCTTGGTGTTGGTACCTGCACTTTGGAATAGGGTTGTCACGGTAACCGGTATAGCGGTAAACCCCGGTAAAAAAGTTGACAATAAAAATAACCGTCCAGTTTTGAAAAAACTATATTATCTCGGTGGGTTTACCGTGGCCGCGGTTTCGGCGCGATGACCCTTACCAGCCACCGTCGCTTCAGCTGAAGTTCCCGCGGCGCGCACACGCACTTTTTAGTTTGCAACGGCACCAAAACTTTGAAGCTGAAATAATGGCCGAAGGAGGAGACGGCAGCGCCCAGGACATCCATCCGCCCTCAAAGAAGACTAAATCGGAAGTATGGGCATATTTTGGATTTCTGAAAAATGCTGAGGGACAGTTAATAGAAGACTGCTATCCCGTTTGCAGAACATGCAGGAAACAAGTGTCTGCAAAAGGCAGCAACACTTCGAATCTAATGGCACATCTGCGTGACCATCACCCGCGTCTCTACAGCCAGTGCAAGGTAAGTTAACATTAGCATTTTAGCTTAAATGCATGACGCGAGGACTTTTGGTTGAGGGAGAATGCAACGAGTCACTATATACTGCAGCCGCAGCGTCCTCTGCCAGCATTTAAACCGTGTCACGGACACCCTGTTGCTGGATGAAGCATCTTATTTGTTGATGATGAAGAGAAATATACAATTAGTTCCTTGTCATTGATTTGTTTACTTATTCAATGCCATTTATACTTGAACATTTGGATTTGATTACATAGTGTAGTAGTTATTTTAGTAATTTGTTTAAAGTGGCTGTTTGTTTTAAATACATATTTTTTTAAGGTTGACTTGTACAGTGCTCAAGTCAAGTGTGGACTGGAGTTTTAGATTTTCATTTTGATAATGAAGAAAACAAGTATATGAGAAAACAAGTGGTGTTTCTTTGATTTGTTTACATATTGTTTATGTTTCGAATGTTTGGATTTGTATAATTTAAACCTGCACTGACTACTGTAACATGTTCCAGAAAAATAAGCTATTTGTTCCTTTACTTGTGAAAAGTTGCACTTTTGCTAAGGCTTTGTGTTATTTTAGGTTTAATAAACACTGTTAAACCTTTTCAGAACTATTTCAGTTTGTGTAGAACAGGACTATCAATGCTTTCTGAACATATGCAACACCGCTTAAAAAATACCGCGATAATACCGAAAACCGTGATAATTTTGGTCACAATAACCGTGAGGTTAAATTTTCATACCGTGACAACCCTACTTTGGAACCAGTTGCCTTTAGTGGTGCGTCAGTCACCCTCATTGGGGTTTTTTAAGACTCGCCTTAAGACCCATTTTTTGTCAAGGCATTCCAGGATTAGCAATTTTTACCTGGTCTTGTTGCCCCAGCCTCTTAATCTTTTTCAGGATTTTATTTTTTGTTTTTACTCTCCATCCATTGTCTGAACGAGCTTGTCCATGTAGGGTCGCGCGGGGGGGGGTGGGGGGGGGGGGGGGGGGGGGGGGCTGGTGCCTATCTCCAGCAGTCAATGGGCAATCAGGCGGGGTACACCCTGGACAGAGAGCCAGTCCATCGCAGGGCAACACAGAGACACACAGGACAAACAATCATGCACACACACCTAAGGACAATTTAGACAGACCAATTAACCTGACAGTCATGTTTTTGGACTGTGGGAGGAAGCCGGAGTACCCGGAGAGAACCCACGCATGCACAGGGAGAATATGCAAACTCCTTGCAGAAAGATCCGAGGCTGGGAAGCGAACCCAAGACCTTCTTGCTGCAAGGCAACAGCTCTAACCATCCTCTCTTAATTTTTTTTATGTTGGTTTTACGATTGCTGTATTTTATTTTGATGGTTTTATGTGTTTATTGTGTTGTGCTCAGCACCTTGGGTGTCTGCATTGGTCGCAGAAGAGGCTTTATAAATAAATAAATGAAATGAATGAAAATGTAGCTTGAGATGTTTTTAGAGCTGCCTATTTGCTTCTAATTCACCATTAGCATTGTTAGCTCAACATTAGCCTCTAGCATTCTTTACCTGATATTAGAGTAAAACAAAAAGATGTTGTGGCTTCTTAGGGCCACAGGAAAAAACTTTTGTTACTGGCTTTGGTTCCTTAAACAACTCTGGAGTTTGTTTGTTTATTTATTTATTTATTTATTGCCGGCTGTAGTTAAATTGCAAAAGACAGCACTGCAGCATTAGCTCACAGGAGACAGCAACCTCACACTCACTGATGGTAAACAGTAGCTATGTCCCTCCTTCCTTTATTTTGAAAGAAGAAAAACTGGCAAACACTGCAGCCGACTGAGAATGAAATATGCTTCGGTATAACTTTCCTTCCAACATGATTGAGACATTAAGACTGTTTTGGAATTATTTCACTGTAGAAATCTCACTTTTTTCTTACACAATGCACCTTTCAACAATAAATACATGGTGGGTGGATTGGAGAAACAATCTATCATTTTGTTTTGTTGGAAAACAAATAATCAAATAATCTGATAAATAAACCAACTAAACTGTGGGGAAATCATATTTCCCATTGAGAACTTGTTTATTTTTTACCTTTACACAGGCCTCCATAGAAAATTATCTTAAACACATTTAGGTCCAAATTCCATCCATAGCTTAAAGTTAAGTTTATCAGTTAGTCACTCACACATTCTTCAAGGATTTTAAGATTTTATTCATTATTTAGATTTGAATAAGTGGGTAAGTATTTCATGTTCTTTCTTTTTTTTATTTTCTGTTGCCAAGTTACCCATTAACTTTGTGTTTCTGTCATAATTTTGCAATTTGTCCTTTAAAGGAAATAAAAATCATTAAATGAAATTTTCTGTGACTTTCTGGGCAGATACTTCCTTGTGTAACCAGGGTAACCTTGAATATTTGCACTTGATTAAAAAAGTAATATTAATAAAACCTCAGCTCTACCAGAACAACCTTGGTTTGATTTGGTTAATTGTTTTAAGAACATGGAAATGAAAAAGGGGTTAATGAAAATAAAATAAAAGGAAACCTCATTAACATCATTAATGACTGAAAAATCCACAATAAAAAGACAGTTTTAAATATAATTCATATAACTCATATTTTCATGTTTTTATTGTAAAACTGCAAAAGGAGAACCTTTTCACGTCTACGTAGAATTTCTGAAAAATCCCAGTAGATTTGAGCTGAGCTGTGGTAAATTTACAAAGCTAAATGAAAGAGAACGAGTTAGTGGGAGAACCAGATGAATGGATGAACGGGAAGCGTGTGCTCCAGGATCAGGTTACATATCAGTCAAACACTGAACTTCCAAGACCTGGCCACATGAAAAAACTCTCTGCCTTTCTGGTCCCAGGCTAAAAAGCTGCGACTGAATTCTTTTGACTCTTTTCCACCATTTATGTTCCAAAATGCACTTGAATTGCATAAAATGCCCAGTAAAAGCATTTGTACTTAGCAAGCTGACTTTTCTCTGTCCCCACTTGCCTTAATTTTTTGCCTCGGTCATCCTTCTGCTGAATCCCGCCCCTCCCCCCATTAATGACCCAGGTGTGCTGCAGGTACCTGCTTTGCTGGATCGAATCCAATCCAACCTTCAGGCTGTAAATTTTCCACCTTGCCGGACTATTATTCATAACGCTGATGAATTTCATGTTCAAAGCAAACAGTTGATGGTGAGATCTCTTAAATAAAACACTTAAAAGTGGTAATGGGTAATAAAAAGGGTTTGAACTCCTTCAAAAAGGTTATAGACTGTTTTCAACTTGACTTGTAGAATAACGAGATAAGGTTTTGAGAAAAGTTGCCCTCAGGGAACTCGTATGATCTTACAAAGCGGTGTATTGTAACCGGCTCCTCTGACAGGGCTGCAGCTGGCTTCTAAAAGGATTCTTGGGGGAGCCTGTGAGGTGTGTGTGTGTGTGTGTGTGTGTGTGTGTGTGTGTGTGTGTGTGTGTGTGTGTGTGTGTGTGTGTGTGTGTGTGTGTGTGTGTGTGTGTGTGTGTGTGTGTGTGTGTGTGTGTGTGTGTGTGTGTGTGTGTGTGTGTGTGTGTGTGTGTGCATATGTTTTGCAAACCAGACATCCCCCCCTCCCCCCTTTATCCCCAGCACTTCTGCTGGGAGGAATGTGCGGTCCGCCTCCTACGCCAGACGGCTGTGCCAACATTCCTGACAAACAGAAAAGAGAGGGGGGAGGAACAAGAAGGGACACTGAGAAAATGGCTCAAATCTTTGGTTCTAAAGAAGTGGAGGTCTGCTTTTGATAAAAAGGAGTAAAGGTGACACCATGTCCAGGGATTGCAACAAAAACGGAGAAGCTATTGTTTAGTAAATTGCCCCCAAGGTCCCATCATAACCTTTGCAGCCCCATAACCCCCATGCACACATCATAAAAGCCTACAGGGGATTCCTGGAATACCGTCCCTTTACCAGACCAAATCCTGATTTTTGTACTCCACACATGCAAACACACACACACACACACCCTGGACTCTTGAGGCTGCTGCATAAAACAGTTTTTTAAAAACAACTCATTATTTGATTGCTTTGTGGCGTGTGAGCAGCCTGGTTCATGTCCTGTCCTGCCTTGCAGAAATATCAATGACATTCAGGACAAGAAATGGTTAATAAACACACACACACACACACGCACGCGCGCGCACACACACACCTTGGAATTAATGCTTTTGCCAGAGTTTTCAAGCTGCGACCTGCCATCGACCTATCCCACATCCAGCGAGGCAGAGGCCACTAATTCAGCAGCTGGGTGCGAGGCCGTGTGCGTTTGTGTGAGAATCAGTCTGGGATGCCAGACTGTTCTCTACACACTGACCCCTGCATGCCCCCTCCACAGCTACTATATTCACACTCCTGCTAACCAGAATATAGATAAGACTTTTTTTCTTTAGATGATGAGTTACGTGACAATGCATTTAGCGAAGTGGAAAAAAGTGGAAAAAGAAGACTCTACCTTGTGGCTTCTTGCTCCAGGCGGGAAACACTGGGAACATAGAACATGACTCCAAAAATGAGCAGTGGCTCATTGCCAAACTTGTCCAGCTGCTTTTTCAGGGGTTTCTCAAGTTCTACCCAGCGCTGGGCCGGGGTCTGGGTCTTCCCTTGGAACCACAGTCCAAAGTAATGGGTCTACAGACCAGAGAGAATGAGGGGATCGTCATTTTGATGCATGGGAAAAGACAAAAACAAAAAGTGAAAATACTGCTAAAATGACTTGTTTTCAGAAGACGGAACAAATAAAAGAAAATGCAAATGAACTAAACAAACTAGCAAATCTTCTAATCTGGTCCAACTCATGTACAGTAGCTATGGAAACAACAGCCATCATGGTGAGATAATAGTCCAACCCGAATACTTGCAATGCGCCCTACGGTCTTCTGTGAAGTGCACTTGGAGGAAGTGTGCAGTAGGGTTTGAGTGCGTAGTGCACAAGTGTGCCAAATGTGAGCTTTCAATCGTCAACCATGTCACATGCCGGGATGTTGGTTGCCGTTTGTGCTACTTTAAAAAAAAATCTTTACTAGCAACTTTCAAACAAACAATTATATGACTAAATTTACATTCATTGCTGTTCATATTAAGTCTTTGTCTAAAACACAAACCTAGACATGCCCCTGTTAATAAATATCATTAATCAACCTAAAATTAAATTCTTTCATTTGAAAATACATATTTTTCCAAAAGGGTACTTGAGCCATTGCTCCGACTTCTTCTCAAAAACCCCACGCAGCAATGAATTGTGGGTAATATCCTTGCACAAATTCCGCATCGATGCAGACTTGGAAGAAGTGTGGATCAAAGGTGCAAAGGGGCCGTGGTCACCTTCCACACTTGTGAATCGGGACATGCTGTGCACTCGAACCCCTGGACGGGATCACGCAGTTGAAGGGCGCATGGGTGGATGAGCGAGTATTGGGACTGGGCTCATCTGTCTGAATAAATAAACACTGTTTAATAGAAACTATTGTAAAATCGTTTTCTTCCTAGCAGACAAAACTGCTTTTAACTCCATAAATCTGTAATCCCTCAAGGTTTCATGTTAGGCCCCCTTAAGTTTCTTATATTTTAGTTTTTACACACACTTCATCATTGTCTTGTCAAATACAATTTAAGATCAACAACATGGAAGTTACATTTTAGTATTTTTGAGGACTCTAGATAAGCGTAACACTTTACCTATTTTTGACACAATGACCTGTTTCCATGTCACTTATCAAACTTTGTTGTTTTTAGATGTGTTTAATGCAAATACTTATGTGATAATCTTATTTAAAACACATGTTCATGCTGGATATTACGATATTTCATCTCGATGAGATTTAAAAACAAAAATCTGTGAGTATTATAAGCTCAAGATGTGTTGGACAACTATTATTTGAGACAGACAATGCTGTTCAAAGGACAGGTGTTAAAGGTGCATTATGTAGAAATGAAGTAAAAATTACATTCTGTGGTAAATTTGGTTACTGCAGCCACTTTAAAGAACTCTGGAAGTTTATGCCGGCCGCCTTCAAATTACAATAGTTGGCGTTGCAGCATTAGCTTGCAGGAGACACGGCAACCCCACACTCACTGATGGTAAAACAGCAGTTACGTCCCTCCTTCCTTTGTTTTGAAAGGAGAAAAACCGACAATCCCCGCAGCCAGCTGGATGTGAAATATGTTTCAGTATGATCTTCCTTCCAACATGAAACATTAGACTCTTTTGTGATTTTTCTCACAGTAAAATTCTCACTATATTCTTACATACTGCACCTTTAAATGGAGTCACTTTGACTTTGGTATTTTCTTATATTTGACGTTCTGCAAACGTAAAGAACTCCTTATGACATCACTTCCTGTCATGGATTGAGACCAACCTGATAAACAGGTTTCAAAAACATATTTACTTGCAAACTGATGCTTATTTTTCATATACAGCACAACTACCTGTTACAGCATGTACTTGATCAGATTTTAATAAGCAACAGATTTGACATCTATCATTATTTACCTCCTGTCTTATGATTTTGCCAAATTTATAAATCTTCTATATTACAACTATGACCCACAGACAGCAAATCTTGTGCAATACCAATAATTTCCAAAGAAGCTGTCTTGGATCGTGTGCAATGTTGTGCATTAGTCACCTGGATCGCACTCTTTTATGTCTCTTTAATGAAGGTGATACAGCTGGAGGCGTTAGCTGCAGCGTACAGTACTCACAACAAATCTACTGACGTGCAAACCGACAGCAACAAAGACGAACACGCACGCTGAAGTTGTGGCAGCACACCACCTTATTTATAACATCTCTGACACCTGACAAATACCACGACACTATGTGAGTATGCTCGACACCACCCCGCTCTATATCACACTGTCAGCAGCTCCAACAGGCACACACACACACACACACACACACACACACACACACGGTGATCAAACTAAATCCATCGTCAGGCAAACACAAGAGCATGCTCACTGTGAGCCTTGCCTCTCACCTGCAACTCTAAAGCAGAGTAAAGGAGAGTAAACAGAACAAATACTGTACGCGATAGCTGGGTTTCAAATTAGCAGAGCACACTGTGGCAAAGAGCAGGAGAAAATATTAATCTACCAGCACTTAGAAGAGAAATGGTGTAGAAATATTATCCCCAGAATTAAGCCCAAACGACTAAAATTAAGGTATGATTTAAGAGTAAAAGGGGAGTAAAAGCTATAGCAACGCTAAAACTTAAAACACCCACATGCCATGTGCACTAAACATTACTGAACATTACTTAAAACTGTGAATGACCAAAACAATAATAGTAAATATTTTTTAGCTTTGGTAATTAGTAAATAAATAAAGCTGCCTTTGGATGTTTCAAAAACATTGCAAGATAAATGTTTTGAGACTTTATTGTGAATAATTGGAAAAAATCTGATAAAAAAACAACAATGGACAAATAAAGTTTGTGTCCTAACTAGCTTTTATTTATTTATTTATTTATTTATTACAATTTTGTTACTCTATAAATAATAATAAATCAGCTTTTCTCAAAAATTTGAATTGAATCTCAAATATTTTTACTTGTTCTGAAAGTAACCTTTTCACAATTTGATTTTAAATTTCATTAATTGACTTTTTTCCCCTCATTATTTCAAATTTATACTAGAAATAATGGTTTAACTTTTCTCTCGGTGTTTCAACTTAGTTCTGTAAATACTATTAGAGCTGTTTTGCTTCAGCGTTTAGATTTTCATCTCAAAACTAGAAAAACAAAAACTGTCCTTGGTTGCTTCGCTATCTGACCCTAATGCATCATTCTGAAGTCGTCTGAATTTCCTTAAAGGTGTGGAACACTCGTTTAGTTAATACTTTTGCAGTGGCGTCACGTAAGTCGTACTCAGGGGGGAAAAAACACCAGTGCGCCATTTCCAGGAACTAGTAGTGACCCACATCACAGCTGAGCTTTGGACGGAAGCTTTTGGAGTCTTGCTTCCTGATATTTCAAATCAAATCAAATCAAATTTTATTTGTATAGCACCTTCTACAACATTATCCAAAGCCCAAGGTGCTGAACAACATCATTAAAAGAAAAACATTCCCAATACGTGGGCATAAAAGCAGGATAAAAACATAAAATCATAAAATAGCAAGCAAACAGCATTACAGATAAGAGATATTGGAATAAGACCAATCGATAAAAAAACAAATGTCGGACAAAATAAAATCAAGCATCCGGTTTAAAAAGAAGAATAGTTAAAACCATAATGTTAGGGCAATTCAAGTGACCCTAGCGCTGAAACACAATCAGATAAAAATGAGTCTTTAAACGAGACTTAAAGACTTGAAGGGATGGTGCCTGCCTAATGCTCAGTGGCAATTCGTTCCACAGAGTTGGAGCCAAAATAGAAAAAGCACGACTACCCCTCGATCGAAATTTCGACCGGGGGACCACCAGAAGTTTGGACATCTAACCTCGAATTGGGTAACAACAAAACTCTACCACTGACTTGCAACACTGATGTTTTATCTCCTCAAATAACATGAGCTTGGAGGAGTTCTGAGACTATTTCCATGTTCAAATGCATGAAAAACTTAAGATTGGCCGATTTAAATCAGAAACAATAATTAAAATCTGTTTCAGTGTTCCATACCTCCAATGAAACATTTTTATTTTTTATTTTTATTAATAAAATGAAGATAACTAGGTTTGAAAGGGGCAAAAATCATGAGATAACCTCTAACACCTGGTGTAGCAGAGGACAGCACTGACCTCCAGGAGCTCCAGCCTCTGGGCCACCATCTCCAAACATTCCTGCCCCGTACTCTCCACTGACAGAGTGCATTCCATCACATTGTTGTCCAGCAGGCGGATCCGCGTTACAAAGTAGTTCTTGCTCAGGACATTGTAGCGACGTGTGCGCCTCAGTTTCAGCCGAAAGGGCATGGCTGGTCAGGGCGGGGGTCACGGCTGAGTCAAAGGTCAAAAGTCACTCGAGAGCACGCGAGGGGGTAAAGAGGGTTGAGCAGGCTCTATGACCTGGCTGCTGCCCTCCTCACTCTCGCGCGACGCCAGCCACACCACCGGGCGGAGAGATGCACCCAGGCAAGGTGCTGGCCCATTCCCAATGATGTCTGGAGAGGAGGAGGAGGATGAGGAGGATGAATGGGTGCTGTGAAGAAAGATCAAGCAGAGAACAACGTATCAGTAACATGGAGAATATTCAGCAGATTCCAACGTCTTATTTCTGAGTGCTAGCTTCCTCCCTACTTCCTATAAAGAAGAGTAGCAAATAAAAAGCTGAGTAAGCGGAATTATTAAATACATAAATAGAGTTGTGTGTGGGCGACAGCGGTGGTCCACGAGCAGAAAATAAATTCAGGTGTCATGAAAAAAAAATAAACTCATTAAACTTCAGTAAAAAGAAGAAAAACACTTGAAGGGCTGGGAGTGTAGGGGGGGGGGGGGGGGGGGAAACACCCCCAAGGGATAGATCAGACCTTTTGACGTCGTGGGTGAGAAGTTTGGAAGCAACAACATCTCTACCTGTTGTTATTGCCTCTTTGAAGGACCTCAGTTTGGAGAAATTAAGATTAGTCTGAAGAGATTAATGAGCCAATAATCGTAATGGGACCAGTTCCAAATTTGATGGAAACAAAAGAGTGGAACGTATATTGCACAGATCAGCTAATGGACTTTAGGATGGAGAATCCAACCACAGAATCAGGAGGTTAGGGACACTGGTGGGGATCACTTCAAACAGGTCAAACCAGCATCAGCTTGTTGGTTATCCTTCATCCTCATGACACAAGGACTAGAGCTCAAACTGTGAAGGGCAAGGAGCTGTGAGGTTAAAAGAAAGTCAATAAATAAAAGTTTTAAAGAATGAAAAATAAAACTGAGTAGGAGTTCAATGACAACACTCTAGAAAGAGATACGGAGTAGAAAAGGAGGAAAGGAGGAGGAGTGGATGTGTTGCTTCTTGTTCTAAGCTCTGGCAATGTCAGCTTGGATCCCAGCCCAGATTCCTTTCTACTCTGATGGGAAAAACACTGCACAACTGACACAAGCATCAGTGTGTGTGTGTGTGTGTGTGTGTGTGTGTGTGTGTGTGTGTGTGTGTGTGTGTGTGTGTGTGTGTGTGTGTGTGTGTGTGTGTGTGTGTGTGTGTGTGTGTGTGTGTGTGTGTGTGTGTGTTAAGGCTGAGTGAGCAGGTGAAAAAAACAGCAGACGCAGCTGTCGGCTGACAGACAGACGGACAATAGTTTGAGATGCTACATATTTGCGTTGTTTGCGACATTTAAACCTCCCTTACTCATCTATTGAAACAGCAAACCCCATGTGGGAGCCAAGACTCATTACTTCTCAATCCATCTGCGTACTGTAATGTGGAATCATCTAATTCATGCACGCCAAACGTGAAACCAACCAAAAAATATGCATAAAATCGGATTCACTTTTGGATACGTGACCCCAGGGGTCACCTGACCTAAACCCTAACCCCTCTGGCTCTTGATAAAGAGACACCACAACTCTGATTGACAGTAAACTCGAGTATGCGGAAGTAGATAAACACACATAGACCATACTTTCACTGTAGTGCACAAACACAGACATGCATGAACAAGAAACACCACACACACACATAGAAAACACTTCTCTCTCTCACACACAGACACACACACCAGGTTCTTCAGAGGTTAGCCAAAGGACTAGACAGCATTTGGTGCAACTCTAAACTAGCAATCTGCAGCACGGTTTTGGGGTGTGTGGTTACATCAGGCAGATAAACAGATGGGACAATAGTTTGGGATCAAACCTTGATGCAGAAACTAAATAAATAATGTTTCTTCAGCACAGCATTTGGTCCCAAGCTTCATGTTTATTTCTAGAGTGTAAAAAAAGGCTCACACGCTTATAAATTTGCACGTTGTAATTTTGTGGCGTGAAGAAACGAAGAGGGAGAAAAAAACAATGACGGGGCGATGGGTTGTTTTTTTAACCATTCCCATCTTTGTTTATGATTTTTTTTTCTTGTGGGGTGGGGTGGGGGGGTCCTTTCCCAGACTTATTGAACAAGAAGAAATATCTTGTTCTTTGTGAGCTAGATCTACATTACCACACGCCATTCATAACTGTTGTGAGAAGTCTCTATGACGCATGCAGGCTTTACTTAAAACTTAGATTTTTTTCCCTTAAGTTTGCATCAAATAACCAACTAGTTCCGTATGCCAAGTCAACTGTATTAAAGTCTGTGATTGATTATAATCAACATGTACTTTCAGCTTGCTATCATGGCCAGATTATTTAAAAATTGGCTTCAGTTGTACCGGACACTCCTGTAACAGAATGAAATGACTGTTTTCCACCTAAAAGTCATTTTTGTCTCTCCTCAGCAAGAACTAATCTGCATGAGATATTGTTCAAGGTCATGCATTTGCTTCTAAACTGCTTCCTTTCCAGCCCAAGAGAAGAACGAAGACAAAGGACTCTTTCTTTTCAATAAATCAAAGAACTCTATTTTTAATAAAGCTAATCAAACAAAGTGTTAGTCAATAATAAGATGTTGACTGATCTGTGAAATGACAATGTTATGATTAGTAAGTTTTAATAAGTAATATGATTTTAATCTAGCTGCACTAGACATGCTGATGACACGTAATGTTACATGACACATTGCTTTGACTCATCCAATCAGAACCTTCCTTTCTGAAGCGTGGCATAGTCTCTGTGGTGTTTATAAATCTGCCAACTTTGATTCGACCATAAATCAAAACATCCAGATTAATAAAACCAGTCCCCACGCCATCTTAGTTCAGTTCTCTGAGTTCTCTTCAGTTCACTGCAGTTCACCGCATGCTAAGCGAAGTATCGGACCGGCCACCCGGACTTCCTTTTTAAGCAAAGAACCAACAAGCTGGATAAAATATGTTGCATTTTACCAACCAAGCAACGATTCCTTTCAGAATAAAAGCTGAACTCACTGACCCTCTGGGTCCATCTGATGCTGTCAACCAACTGTCGCTTTTTACCTGAAGACAATCCAAGGACTAGTCCGTCGTACTGCTGACGCTGTTTCATCGGCTCCGGTACCGAAGGGGGGTCTGAGGACCTGGCATTCTGGATCTGTACGGAGGTCTCATCTTAAGGGTATGTGTGGAGGGACAACATGGCGTCTCATGTGTTTATGAAACTCCGATCATAGCTTAAGAGCAAAACATCACAACATCATTCAGACTTGCTTCTCCGGATATGAGAGTTCTGATGACAAACATCACTCACACATACACCATTCATCTCACGTCTCATTCACACCAGATCATCCATTCACTTAGAATTTAGAGTTAGTCTTGTTTAAAATTGTTTAGAAATAAATCTTCTTAAACGTTTTAAAGGTGACTCTCGTCTGTTGTCTCTCAGTTAATACGAAGTGTTACATAATCCCTGCAATAAAAAGTTCCAATCTTCTGGTTAAAAGTACCCACAGATCCGTAAGATTGATATTTACTATGGCATCTCATGTCTTATGGTTCCTTAAATAGATGTAAATTAACCCTTTACACTCCGATGAGTCTATTGAGTGGCTTTTGTTTCACTTTTATCCCTGAAGTTCCTTGGAAAGCTGATAGAATACCATTCCAGAATCAAGAAGTGGAAATGCGAGCTTCCTGCACAGGTTTGCTGGGCTTAGCCTTGGAGATAAGGTAGGGAGTGCAATCATTTTTTAAAGAGTATCGTCGCTGCTCCTCCTCATCAAAAGGAGTCTGCTGAGGTGGCTTGGTATTCAGCTGGTTGGAGACATCAGAGCAGACCCAGAATTCACTGGGAGAAGCTAGAGAGTGTCACTCGGAAAAGTGATGTCATTGCTTCTTACCTACGCAGTCATCTACGGGACGTAACCCACACTGTTTAGTAACCCTGCAAAAATGAATAATGAGTCTTGATTTAAAGGTTGAATATGGAACAGTTTATTGAAAAGCTCCATGGGGTGTTTAAAGGTAAATGGCCTGTATTTGTATTGCACCTTCTTGGGGTTCTACAACCCCCCAAGGTTCTCCACAACACAATCAATCATTCACACATTCACATGCTGGTGATGATGAGCTACATCGTAGCCACAGCTGCCCTGGGGCGCACTGATGAAAGCAAGACTTCCAAATAGGGCTGAAACGATTCCTCGAGTACCTCGAATAATTCGAGTACAAAAAATCCTCGAGTCAAATTCTCTGCCTCGAGGATTCGTTTAATTCATATTTAATTAATTCGTGGCTTTGCAGTCGCCCGTGGTCATGTTTCACCCGGACTGAAATAAGTGACGCACATGCCCACTGGACTGCACACGCGAGTAGCGAATGTAACTTAACTTTCTCTTCAGCCATGGCGGACAACGTGGACCCCGGTAGAGTGCGAAAAAGACAGAAAATGTCAAAGGTGTGGGACAATTTTTCACGTCGTTAGGCGGAAAACGTACTCCAGTGTAAATACTGTAAAATGGATTTAGCCTACCACAACACCACATCCTCCATGCTGCTGCAGCGCCTGTAAATGTCACTTCTGCAAGCGGACTCGGAGCCTCTACAAGATAATGCTTTTTGGCCTGTATTTCTATATATTCTGCGGACACTGTGCGACTTTTTCGTTTGTAGCACTCAGTTTAAGCTCACACCATACATCTGGTAGCAACACGTCGGACTTAAAATGTGCTAAAAAATAGCATTTTTACACAAAACGTCGGACTTTTTATTGTGTTATTGATGTTTGTTGTCCCTCGGGATTGCTGCAGGAGGACATGGGTATTTATGAGAGGAAAACGAAAGAAAGTAAATAAATGTTTTGTGATCAGTATAATTTGACAAAACCACAGCAAACATGCTTTCTCGACAATCCTTGTTATTGTGTGAGTAAAAAAAGTGTTGAAATTAAAACGGACGTGTGTTAATAGGGAAACAGCCGGCGAGCTGTTTGCGCATGCGCCGTGAGCGGTTCTGGTTCTGTTTGGGCCGCAGCCTGCTCGCAGCGCTACTTAAACAGTTATCCTCCTAGTTTCTGTCTGGCTTGCAGGCTAGCAGATTCTCGCACGAGGGGAAAATCTGCCCAGGTTGTGTACTTATTTTTTGCACAGCCATTTGTTTACTGTGAAGTAAAGATGAAGTGCTGAAGTTTTGAAAACTA